ACCTCCTGGGATGTACCGTGCTCCCACGGCGAGCTCTCGCTCTCTGTCCATGGTCCTGTTTGGTGAGGACTCCTGTGCTCAGACACCAGTCCCCAGGGTTACTCCGTTAGGCAGGGCAGTGACCTGCTAACTCAGGGCTCACTGGAGTAGAAGATGATAGACAGGAAGCTCTGCTCGTCATGCTCATTGATCCAATTATTACAGAATAGAAGAGCCTCCTTCCTTGACCTCAGTGTGGTGAACTGTGATTATGTGATCAAAATGTACAGAATGGGAAGGTGGGGCACATCCAATAAAGGGCTCATTTCACTGCTGCCTTCCTGTTCTGCAGTGCGTGGAACTCGGGGTCTCTAATGTTGGAGGCTTAAGCAGGGGCTGCTGTTGGGCTTAAGTTGTGACTTCCTTTGACACGTGTTGGAGGCTTGGATGCAGAGTTTTTGCTCAGGCTCCAGGTAGAAGGAAGCTTAACTCAGGCTCTGGGGCCTCTCTCCACCCCTAGCATGGGAGAATGCATCAGGATCATGTAACCGTGTGGTGCCGTTGACTGAATACCAAGAACAGGCCCAAAGTGAGGGCTTCTGGCTGGATTTAAAAGGTCCAGAGGGGCTGATGGAATCCTTCATCCAAGGCACCTAAACGTATTGTTTGCAGGGTAAGAACAGTATCAGGACACTTGGAAAGTTTTGTCAGTTTTGATTCTCTTTCTAAAATGCAAATTTAAATTTCCACCTGGGAAAACTATTCAATACTCAATTGATTTTCGAAACAGGGATTAGAGCACTCCAGGATGCTCTGTGCTCACAGAACTGGAGGCGCGGAGGCTCTCCCAGACCAGGCAGTGATCAGGTGTAAACCCGGGTCCCTCGTGCATCTCCGAGGCCGGACTCCAGCACTGACAGCTGTCAGGATGATTGGCATGGCACTGAGAATGCCGCCGTTGCTTGGAATTTTAATGCTAAATCGATGCCTTGTTAATGGAGCTTTTTGCGTGGAAGTTACATGACTGTATTTTGCTTCATGTTATTAAGTAACAATTAAACTAGGAGTCGAAAGGTGCCTGTCATAGTGACCCCGGTGAATGAAAGGCGCCTGTCAGAGTGACCGAAGTGAAAGGCGCCTGTCAGAGTGACCCTGGTGAAAGGCGCCTCTTTCATCAATGTGATCCTCATGGGAAAAAAAGACCCTCAAAACAGAAATCCCAGGGATGCCGACGGAGAGTTCTCACAGAAGTGTTTTCCTGCTTTTGATGGACATGAGCAAAATTTAAATCTTTACTTTTTTCACTGAACTGTTTTTTAAAATTTAAGTGAATTATTTACACTGTAATGATACGGTTATTTTTAAAGCTGAAATTTGGTTGCAGCTTTACACCAACCCGCCTCAGCCTGCAGGGGCCGGAGTGAGGGCTCTGGCCGGACGACCATCCCCAAGCTGGGCCTTCCCAGCCCGTGGCTCCCACCTCCACCGTCCTGCAGTGATGAGTCCAGAGTCTCCACGTAGAAATCCCCACAGAGCGATTCTGATCCACGTTGGAGGTTAGAACAACTGTCCGTGGAAGACAGAAACACCTACATGATGGAGAGGTCCCATGCACACACATACACACGCAAACACATGCACACACATACACACACACGCAAACACACACACAAACACACACACGTACACACATGCACCCCCGACACCCATGCAGTCACAAACATGCACACACACGCAAACACATGCACACACGTACACACAGGGACACACTCATAGACACACACACATGCAAACACCCTTGCACATACACGCACACAGCCCTCAATTTACAAATATTTTAGAAAAAATTCCATTTCACATGTGATCCAAAGTATGCCATGAGGACTGGAGGCTGTGGCGGCTCATTCGGCTTCCTGAGCATCCCGGCCTCCCGGCTGCCGGGGCCAGTGGGTTCTCCAGGGACAAACCTCACCCCCTTCCCAGGGTGTCCGCCCCACCCCTCACCCAGGCTTAGGAGCCTGTTGAGCCGTCTCAGATTGATCAGGAAACATGGGGTCTTCTTGCTCTTTACATTTGTTTTCTGTTTTTATTGTGAAGTTGGGAAGCTGAGCATTTTACCGTTTGTCAGACCCTTCTCACCGCTCGCCGACTCACAGGCTCAGAGAACTTTCAGCTGCGTCCACGCGTCCTCCTCACTCACAGGGCTGCCTCTGTGTTTTAATAGTAACCCGAATTCACACGCATCCTCCTCACTTACGACGCTGCCTCTGTGTTTTAATAGTAACCCGAATTTACACGTGTCCTCCTCACTCACGGCGCTGCCTCTGTGTTTTAATAGTAACCCGAATTCACACGCATCCTCCTCACTCACAGGGCTGCCTCTGTGTTTTAATAGTAACCCGAATTCACACGCGTCCTCCTCACGACGCTGCCTCTGTGTTTTAATAGTAACCCGAATTTACACGCGTCCTCCTCACGACGCTGCCTCTGTGTTTTAATAGTAACCCGAATTCACACGCGTCCTCCTCACTCACAGCGCTGCCTCTGTGTTTTAATAGTAACCCGAATTCACACGTGTCCTCCTCACTCACAGCGCTGCCTCTGTGTTTTAATAGTAACCCGAATTCACACGCGTCCTCCTCACTCACGGCGCTGCCTCTGTGTTTTAATAGTAACCCGAATTCACACGTGTCCTCCTCACTCACAGCGCTGCCTCTGTGTTTTAATAGTAACCCGAATTCACACGCATCCTCCTCACTCACGACGCTGCCTCTGTGTTTTAATAGTAACCCGAATTTACACGCGTCCTCCTCACTCACGACGCTGCCCGTGTTTTAATAGTAACCCGAATTCACACGCGTCCTCCTCACTCACGGCGCTGCCTCTGTGTTTTAATAGTAACCCGAATTTAAACGCGTCCTCCTCACTCACGACGCTGCCCGTGTTTTAATAGTAACCCGAATTCACACGCATCCTCCTCACTCACGGCGCTGCCTCTGTGTTTTAATAGTAACCCGAATTCACATGTGTCCTTCTCACAGCGCTGCCTCTGTGTTTTAATAGTAACCCGAATTCA